TCCTTACATTTCTTTCCCCCTTATTTGTGTTTATAGCCTGACATGGCAGTATGCTGGGAGCAGACAGAGAACTAGACATTCATTCACTTTGGGGTCTGTAAAGCCAATCAGCAACATTACTATCTCCGACTATCTCTGAAATCAGTGTCCCAGTCTGATTATTATGGTGCTTTGTCCCTTCTGCCTGTACACAAGGAACTCTTGAACTGGTAGCTCTTAGAATCAACCATAGAAACACAGAATCATAGTTGGAAGGGACCCCGAGTGTCATCTAGTCCAACCCCCTGCAATGCAGGAATCTCAGCTTAAAGCATCCATCACAGATGGCCATCCAACCTTTGCTGGAGTGAACATGTTCTATAGTAGAGAAGTCTCTGTCTTTCAAAGCACAAGCTCTCTTTGTTTTAAGAGAACAGTCTGGGTCAGAAATTTGCTTTTCTGCTCTGATTGGTCAGCAAATCTCACAGAATTTGAACAAGGAGAAAATACTTACAGGAAACAAGTTTCCATAAATAACCTCAAGCATGACCTACAAATGAACTTAATTGTCCACCTTATGAAAATAGGGTTTCAGTCTGCCAATCCTGTTAAATGTGTAAAGGATTGCAGCATAAGGCAACCTCCGCTGAAAACAATTAGACTACTTCCGAGTAGATAGTTAGCTGTTAGCCATTATTAGCTAACTTGGTCCTGCCACGTTGCACCCTTTCTTACCCAAATTGCAACCACTATGATTAAGCCCTGTTAAGGGAGTCTGAGTCTCAGCAACTAGGAGAATCACTCCCCAGTATCTCAAGATGCAGGGAATGCAGGGAGGAAAGGAAGCACAAATCCTGTTGTACAAGAGGCACTCTGTTCGTGCATGTAGAATTTAATCAGTGGTCTAGAGCAAGGTTTCCTAAACTTGGGTCTCCAGCTGTTTTGGGACTACAGTTCCCATTATCCCTGACCCCTGGACCTTCTAGCTAGGAATGGAGTTGGAGTCCAACAACAGCTAGAGACCCAAGTTTGGAGAATCCTGCTCTAGAGTATAGCCAAGAAGTGCAGTTTGGGATAATTTTTGCTGTTATTTTGCATGGTCTAAAGGCGCATGAAGATAGGCAGTTTAGGGTCTGGGTGAAGATGGGAGGCTGTGTGCAAATTGTATGTAGATTGCATTCAGTATTGTTACAGAACAAAGTAGGATAGAAATGTACTAAATAATAAATTAATTGACAATTTGTTAACAGCTGCACAATTTGCAATACCAGAAAAAAATAAAATCCATCCAAACGCCTATAGAATGTGCAAGATTTCAGAAAAATGGTGATATGCTAATAACAGTCAAATTAATACAGCAAATTAGGACTCAACCGGAAGACAGAAATCTCATTGTTTTATAGCAAAATCATAGCCAGTAATAAAAATATTTGGAAATGGAACCTGTGAAATGGGACAAGCCAAAAAAATACAAAACTCAGAAGACATTGCTTTCTGGGTTTTTTATGCTACTAGGTAGTGGGAGTGCAATTCTAACTGTAATTCTAACTTTCCTTTTTTCTTTGGAAGGAATTGTTTTCTGAAAGCTTGATAAAACAATGTTACAAAAAGAGAGACTGACAGACGGGGCAGCAAGGTTTCTCTGCAGACATCTGCCCAATGCCATCTCTGTACCTCCCTGTGGTCTGGATCACTGAAATGGATAAAGAAATGTCCTCTGGATGAAGACCTCCCTGTGACATTTTGCAGTTGCCCTACTCCTACAGTCAAGTAAGTTTTAGGAGAGGGGATAGTGGTAGAGGAAAGGAAGGAAGCCTGGAGGTAGTAGCAAGGTTAAACCCCAAAGCAAAGCAAGCCAAAACTGCCTGTTCTGAATTTGGATCTGGCTCCTTCCGGATCAGCGATTTAATCCAATTGGATGGTCAATTAAGATTTGTTTAACTGGATGTTAGCCTTATTTATTGACAGATGTTATATGCGTCTTAATATAAAAATAAATCCCTATGTAGTTTTCATGCTTAGTTTATGCCACAACCCACCTTAGGTTAGTTATAACAAAGTCTAACTGAAAGCAATGCAACCAGAGTCCATTTCACTGAAATTGTTCCATTAGGTGTAATGTAGCCTAATCCCATTTGTTTTCATGGGAAAGACAAATTTGCTGACCAGCATTGTTTAATTGTGGGTGTTTATATTTTGATATTTGTGTAACTGGTTTTTATTCTTTGTAAACTGCTTAAAAGCCTATTTTGGCACTAAGCTGTATATCACTGAATGAACAACAACAATTTACAGTGAAATCCTACAAATAACTTTACTGGAAGCAATATCAATAAGTTCAATGGGACATTCTCCTTGTTAAATGTGTACAGGATTGCAGCATAAGGCAACCTCCACTGAAAACAATTTGACTACTTCCGAGTAGATAGATAGCTGTTAGCCATTATTAGCTTTAGCTGAATTGTGGTTACTGCATGGGCATTTTACATAATTTAAATTTACTACTTTAATCTAATTTCACACTTGAAAATTCAAATGTCACCACAGAAGATCTCTTCATATCTGATCTAAAGCAATTAAAGTAAAACTCATTTATATAAATATTTTATATACTGATTTTTAATAAATGGTCTGTCAATCAGTGCATTTATCAATTAAAAACACTTCGACAAAAGAGTGCCAACCATCGAATGAGCCATTTGCACAAGCGAATGACAATTCCAGTTGCAGGAAAGAGGATGCAGGGGACAAACAATTCAGAGCGGTATTCCAGGTACATTCCCCAAGGCAACATCGCGTTACTCATGATGGTTACTAGACCCTTGGATGGGACAATTCAGTGTCTGGAGGACACTCTTGTCCACCACTGTACAAGAGTCCACAGTTCTTTGAATCCAAGCTAGATTTTTATGGACAGTTCACAGTTTGCCAGGGTTACCATTTTTTCACTTGTTGGTATCCATCTGTCTCAAGTGACAATGGATACTGCCTCCAGAGTTGAACCGCTGCATTAGTAGCAACAAATAATAATAACAGTAATAATAATTTATTAATTATACACCGCCCATCTGGCTGGGCTTCCCCAGCCACTCTGGGCAGCTTCCAAAAAAATATTAAAATACTGTAATACATCAAACATTAAAAGCTTCCCTAAACAGGGCTTCCTTCAGATGTCTTCTAAAAGTCTGGTAGTAGTTGTTCTCTTTTACATCTGGTGGGAGGGTGTTCCACAGGGAGGGAGCCACTACCGAGAAGGCCCTCTGCCTGGTTCCCTGTAACTTGGCTTCTCGCAGTGAGGGGACCCGCAGAAGGCCCTCAGTGCTGGACTTCAGTGTCCGGGTAGAACGATGGGGGTGGAGACGCTCCTTCAGATATACTGGACCGAGGCCATTTAAAGTGACCTCTCTGGAACACGAGCCTGGGAAGTGCGGGTGGAGGCCTGGACAACGAGACCCCTCTCTCAGCTTTGCTGATATGGTCCAAAGGAAAGCAGAGCAATACGTTTGGCACCAGCTTCGCTGCTGCAATAATTGTCAGAAGGAGGTGTACAAGGCACCATCCAACTGTCTTAGGGACTCCACTCCAGATTTGTGTAGAGTTTACTCCTTAGCCTTTTCTTCTCCCAAATATATCCTGCAAAGCAGGGGGGGTTTAGGATCAGAGTCTTCGTTCTCTTAGATGGGTTACTTTCCCAGGTTGCTAAGCCCCATCTGCTCCTCGCTTCCCTCTACAGCACGTGCAAAAACCACCTTCTTAACCATTCAACCCACTATTGGTTTTATCTGCACAATCTGCCAGAGCCTGTTTAACATGCAGGGGAAGTCCCTAACTCACCAAGGCTTTGGGACCCATCGGCTGGTACCTGGTTTAGCCTGGTTTAGCCTGTCAGTGGAAGCCATTCCCAGGGTGTAGTTGTTATCACATGATGACAGCTTCTAGGAGCCACAGTTGAGAGCTGAGTACAGGGTAGGGACCAACTACCTCAGAAGGAGCATGATGTGTTCCCCACTACCAAGTGATTAACTAATGCTTAGTAATTAGGGACGTGGGTGGTGCTGTGGTGTAAACCACTGAGCCTTGGACTTGCTGATCGGAAGGTCGGCAGTTCGAATCCCCGCGACAGGGTGAGCTCCCGTTGTTCGGTCCCAGCTCCTGCCAACCTAGCAGTTCATAGCACGTCAAAGTGCAAGTAGATAAATAGGTAAACGGCATTTCCGTGCGCTGCTCTGGTTTTGCCAGAAACGGCTTAGTCATGCTGGCCACATGACCCGGAAATCTGTATGCAGACAAGCGTCAGCTCCCTCGGCCAGTAAAGCGAGATGAGCGCCGCAACCCCAGAGTCGTTCGCTGCTGGACTTAACTGTCAAGGGTCCTTTACCTTTTTTTTTTATTCTAAAGTTCTACACTTAATAGTTCTTTATACAACCCCATATTTAATATAACACTGATACCTAAAGGACATCTTCCTCCTCCCCCCACCACTGGTGATCACCCCAGCCTGCTCCACAGCATCTCCCAATCCTTTGGAGTAGATGTGGCGACTGCAAAGGAGAGGAGGAGAAGGGAAAGTGCTGTTCCATGAGTGGAAGCCCGTTCCACTAGCAAACACAATTGGATGCATCCCTACAGAATAAATCCCACTATTTGTATTAGGACACAACCTCACATTGACCACTTTTCTTACAGATCACAACACAGTAGGGATATGTTGATATGCAATAGTTAAAACCGATGCTTAATCTGAAATTTATGCTGCAATTTAATTAAATGATAGTGTTTTATTTCATTGTATTGGGTGTCAAATGTTGCTGTACACAGCTCTGGAATGAGACTTGCTGAAATGTTTATATAGAAATGTTCCAAATGCATGAGGTGGGGAGTTGTTTAGGGTTTTTTGTTGGGGTGGGGTTGTTGCTGTTAATGTTATTAATTTTTTGCATCTTCATTTTAGAGCTTGTTATGACTTTTGTGGAAATTAATTCAGTTTGGTTGTGTAATTTTTGATATTTCATTTATTGTTTATGACTACTTTTGTTATGTTTGTAATTATTTCTTTTTTCATGTTGTAAACCGCCTTGAGTATGGTTTTAACCATGGAAAGGCGGCATACAAATAAATTATGTTTCTTTCTCTGTTCCAAGATTTGATCTTGCTCAGAGGACCTTATTTGACATAACTTTTAAATCTGTTGTCATTTTATATACCCTGTATTACTGTAAAGTGATGTATCCTGAAATGTTGGTAAAGCTTTGGAAACTTCAGGTTGTCCATATTTATAATGAAGACTTTTAGGATGGGTTTGTATATTAGGGAAATAAACTCCACAATGCAAGTCTAAATGGAGAAAACAATTATCAAACAACTAGCCTACATCTGAAATACTGCAAGGAGTAGGAGGCAACCAATAAATGAATGAATGAGTGAATGAATGAATGAATAAAGCACAAAACAGAAACCTATTAATACAACAGTCCTTTGGCAAAATCTGCCAGGCTGAGCAGATTAGGATCCAACAGATCTCTGGCTGAGCTGTTACCCTTATCCTCAGCTCAGCCAAAGATATGCCAGTGTATCTCTGCCATCCCAGTTCAACCAGGACCCAGCTGGATGAGCCAAGTCTGGCGGATCTTAAGATGACACCGAAAGAAGGGTGTTGTTGGAGCATGGTGTGGGTGGGACTAGAGAGGGGTATTAGGATGGGTCCTATGCCTCTTGTGACGTAAGTAAAACTGGCAAAAGGGTGGCATAACTCAAACACTATTTTAAAGGCTTATTTCCCCTCCTCTAGGCTTAGCCTGACTCAGCCAACCATAACCCTTCTGCTGAGCCGAGTTTGAATCGGATGCAACTTTATACCAGCTTAATCTACTCCAGCTTGCTTTACGCCAGCTTCCTGTTTGTAGGATTGCTCCTAAATTATGCAAATCTTGTGTTAATTTGTCTGCCGCCAGTAACAGTGGTGCAATGCTGATTTAGCAGCGTTAATTCATCAGACTTATTCCGTTACACTGTACATCTTATCTTTGGCACTTATTTCTTAGTACATCAAGTTTCATAATTGCACTGTATAAGTTATGATATAAAGGCAGAAGGCTGTTTTGCAATCAAACAATGATCATCAAAATCAGATATGGATACATAAATCTGTATTTATCCAAATAGATAAGGACACGCGGACACACACACACACATGCAAACTAACTTAACTATTAGTTGTTTACCAGCTGTATACATGCTAGAAGTCATATCCAGGAAATGTAGTACTTATAGCTACCAACGACAGGTTATTGCAATGGGAACTGAACAAGACACGGGATAGAGTTTTGCAAGCATTTCCCCACCACTAGGTACATTTTCTGCATGCATTAGCCTATTGCATCTGATACAGATGACACATGTATAGACCTATTTCTGAGCATAAACTGCAGTAACTGGACTGTTGTTAAATTTATTCATGAAATAAAGGAATATTCATCCACGGTGAAAAAGTTAAAAGAAAAAGAAAAACTTGTCTTACTATAAGATATATTAAAACCCAAACTATATTACATTTTCTTGCTTAGGCCAATATCTGCCTATAATGACTTTTGCAATACACTTGTAACATTGTCTAGTCACTAACAAATTCAGATACTGTTAGGCAAGGGACAAAGCCAAATGACTGAAAAAGCAAAAGGACTCAACTTCAATTTAACTGTCCTGTAAGGTACATACTAATTAGCTTCAAAGCTATGAAATCCTAGCTAGCATGTTAAGTCTGCTACATGACAGTATAATTTGCCTTCTTAAAGGATTATGCAAATTACAACTCATCATTCCATTACACGACTGAAAAAAGTGACAGCTAATTTATACATAACACACCTTTCAAATCCCTAAGATGTGAAGCACCTGTGCAATATACTTTGCCTAGGTTTTTCTGGGTTTAAGTACTTGTTTACTGCAATATACAGAAGCATACCTAAGAGATTTAATAAAGTCCTAGAGGTTTATTTATTTCCCTTTTAACTTCAAGAGCACAATTCCCAAGTATGAAAACAACATATATCTGCCCCCAATTTCAAAGGTATTTCATTCAAACAGAAGTGTAAGTTTTCAATACATGTTTAACTTCTGAATAGAGGGACAGCACTAACGCCACGAGCCAGGAGAAAGACTCACACAGATTTCAACATACTTCTGGTAGGTAGATTCACAGTAGATTCCGTCATATCTGTAGATTTTCCTACATTCTGACTGGTTGGGCAGAGGATGCTGGACAGTTATTCTGTAGAGGTATCAAAAACAGATATACATGACTAGAGATTCTCTACAGTCAACTGTAATGCAGGACAATTAGTATTTTGAAAGGTACTGTTATTATATGTTACATCTATCTCATCTTGTTACATCAACTACATTATAGTTATATATATATATATCTACATATATATATCTACATTATAGGACAGGTTCTACTTCTGGAACGTTGCTCTGAAAGTAAACTAAAATATAATTCTGTATAAGAGAAAATTTCTCTTCTCCTCAAAATAGAGACAAATTGGGACACACACAAAAAAACCCTCTTTGGAGTAATTAAACTTTAAGGCTCTCCCCCCCCCCCCCCAAATAAGGAACATCACACTTAACTAGCAAAAACTGTCTTTACATCTGTTAAGGATTCCAATCTGTGCCCATAGATGTTCAGAATGATTGAGAACTTTTAAAATTCTGCCTACTCCAGTTCCCCATGGTGACAGAAACTGGACTGTCACAGGACTGGGGCTTACCACATAATTTTATAATCTAGAATTAAGCATTACATTCAATGCTGTTTTTATGTTAAGGAATACAACAAATTGCATGTAATATTCATTTTAGATTTTAACCTTTTTTGGAATAAAATTCTTTTTTGTGATATTGCATAAAACCTAAGTGATTAATCTGCAATCTGAGTAATTCCCTTTCATTCCTAATGGGCTACTCTTGATATGCCCATCAGAAGAGAAATCAGCTCAGAAGATTGCCTGTTACCAAAATATTTATTCATATCAAATTACCTGTTAGCTAATGTTTCCAGCCTTAACCTTTATAAAGCACTGTACCTAGATAGCTCAACAAAACCGCTTTTTATATGTATTTATTTTAATAGTAAAATGTGTGACCTGGGTTTCCTAACAACTGTCACATGATTTACTCTAGATGATGGAACTATTATGGAAATGGGAACTATTCTGAATTCAATTTCTATGTATTTTCCTAAAGTTATAACAATGGTCTTATTTCTTTCCCTCTTTTATCCATCTTTCTTTATAAAACTACAATAATAAAATAAACTGCCACCTACAAAAGCAATAGTCTACAGTGATTCATCCACATGAAATTCTTGTGCAACTGCTTGGGAATGATAAGGCATAGCACTAAAATTAACAAAGAAACTGCACTACTCTAATTTGTCAAAAAGTGTTTATTCTCAACATGCTATGGATCATGCAAGTATACTGCAGAATTTAATCAATGAAGAAATCACACCTTGAACCTTCTAAACTTAGTTTTTAAATAGTACCTGCTTTGTATGCCTCTACAATGTCTTATTTGAAGACATTATTTAAGTACACCAGGCGAATCCATTAGCATGGAATCCATAGCACTAATCACTTTTGCTATAATCCCATACCTACCTACCTTGGCATGAGCTCAACTGAAAGCAATGAGATTTACATCTGAGTAAACATGTACAGGACTTCTGTGTTTGATATTTAATATACACATAACTATAGCTCTGTATTATAAATTATGAATCAACACTGATAATTAGGGGAAGGGTCATAGCTTGATAGTAAAGAACACACTTTGCATGTAGAAGGTCTCAGATTTAATCCCCAGCATCTCTAGATAGGGTTGGGAAAGATCCCTGCCTGAAACCTTGGATCACTGCTGCCTGTCAGTGTAGACCATGCTGAGCTAGTTGGACCAGCGTCTGACTTGGTATAAGGCAGCTTCCTATGATTAAATCATAATATACAGATTTTTACCTGGTTGACTGACCCAACCTAAAGAATGCTCACAAATGGTTCGTCATCCTGGACAAAATGATAGCTAGGGTGCTGCAGGATTCTGTTGTTGTTCAACATCTTTATAAACAGCTTGGACGAAGGAATGGAGGGGATGTTCATCAAATTTGCAGATGACACCAAGCTGGGATTCAAGATGACTTTAACAGATTGGATAACTGGGCCAAAACTAACAAAGTGAATTTCAGTAGGGACTAATGTAAGCTTCTACACTTAGGCAGGAAGAACCAGCTGCCCCAATATAAGATGGGGGACACCTGGCTTGCCAATAGTACATGTGAAAAGGACCTAGGGAACTTTGTGGACCACAAGTTAAACATAAGTCAACAAGTGTTATGCAGCAGCAAAAAATGGCTAATGCTATTCTAGGCTGCATCAACAGATATCCCGATCAAAGGAAGTAGTAGTACTGCTCTACTCTGTCTTGGTCAGACCACACCTGGTGTCCAGCTCTGGGCACCACTATTTAAGGAGGGTACTGACAAGCTGGAAAGTGTGCAGAGGAGGGCAACCAAGATGATCAAGGGTCTGGAAACCTAACCTTATGAGGAACGGTTATGGGAGTTGGGTGTGTTTAGCCTGGGAAAGAGGAGACAGAGAGGACATATGATAGCCAACTTCCGATATCTAAAGGGAAAGATGGAGAAGCCTGTTTTCTCTTGTTCTGGAGGACTTGAACCAATGGATTCAAGTTACAAGAAAGGAGATTCTAACTAAACATCAAGAAGAACTTTCTGACAGTAAGAGCTGTTCAGCAGTGTAACAGACTCCCTCAGAAGGCGATTTGCTCTCCTTCAATTAGGGTTTTCAAGCAGAGGCATGAATGCTATAGTTGAGATTCCTGCATTGCAGGGGGTTGGACTAGATGACCCTCAGTGTCCCTTCCAACTTCACAATTCTACGATTCTATAAGTCTATGTTACAAAAAAGGAGATTCCAACTAAACATCAGGAAGAACTTTCTGTGCTCAACAGTGGAACAGACTCCCATGAAAGGTGGTGGCCTCTCGTTTCTTGGAGGTTTTTAAGCAGAGGTTGGGTGGTCATCTGTCATGTATGATCTAGCTGAGATTCCTGCATTGCAAGAGGTTGTACTAGCTGGCCCTTGGGATCTCTTCCAACTCTACAATTCTAGGTGCCAGAAATTAAGAATTATCTAGTAGATGGATTCCAATCAATCCTGTAACCAGACAAATCACAGTCAGTGAACCAGTGAATCCAGTCAGATAGCAGGTAATCAGCAAGGGGGTTTGTGGTTAGGAATAACAACCTTTCCCATGTATGCTCTCTTTGGAACCATCTTGCAGACACCCTACCCAAATTAATTTTGATCACTCGTTCTTTAACACATTATGTTGACAGGGAGGGTTGATCTCATATGTTCCATATAAAAACTGATTTTGCTCAAGATCAAACTGTATATTGGCTATTTACTCTGGGTACTGTATATTCCTGTTCCATTTTATGCTTTAAAATTGATTTCTTGTATATATTTTCTCAGAATTGAAAATTAAAGAACTGAATAGCATTCGAGCCTAATCAATTCGCACTGGTTAACTGAAATCACTTTCCACTTGGTTTTGAAATGTTTGTAGAATGAAAATCCTAATTCTCACATAACATTTTTGGCACAACCAACCCCACTGTTGCTTTGCTTGTGACAGCAAGAGTTTTAAAATGTACTATGTTTAATGTTTTAAAAATGTACTATGGAAGAATACAGCTGCAGTCCCTCCCTACAAAATGCTAGCAGCGTAACTCAACACCCTGTTAGAATCAAACGAACAAAACCCCACTTAATATTTGTATCTCCCTTGCTATAAGTGTTATATTTTCAATAAAAAATAAAAAAAATCCTGCCCATTCTATAACCTGCTTCTCTTTTAAAAAAATTATATGCTTTTACTGAAAAGTTTCAGAAGAAGCTTTCAAATACAGCTAGATTTCTCCTCCCACTTTGACATGTCACTTCAACTCAAGATGGACCCATCATATAACTCAAGGTGGAACTTTAAGTGAATTTACATACATGTGAAACATGTAAAGCTATGACTAATTTTAACTCACAGGGCAGAATTTAAATAATTAGTTACAAGAAGTCAAACTAAAGGAAGAAAGGAGGAAAGAGATGGTTAGAGGCAGAGTAGTAAATTGTTCCATTTTTGCAGGTAATCTAAATGCAAACTAGAAGCAACTTATCATGAGAATGGATTTTCCACCATCTGGTCAAATAACAGGGGATTTGTCTAGTGGCAAGCAAAGAATGGAATGATGTGAGAAAGATTAGCGGGCAAGTCCTACAGTTGGCTAAAATGTATTTTGTGCAAACAAGAACAGATGACGCCTTAACAATTACACCTGTCAAAAACTCCAGAAAGCAATCCATCTCTGAACAGCCCAGTTGAAAACAGGCTAGTTCATAACAAAATGAATTTTTTTAAACAATTGCCAGCCATAACAGTTTGATGCATGACAAGCTTAGGAAGTCATGTTCCACGTTCAAGTGAAACCTTAACTAACTGGACCCTGGGTTTTTGTGATAAGTAAGATATTAAACTGGGGAAAATCCTTTTCTGCAGTAATGCAAATAACAGGCAGCCTCTCTGAGGCAAACGAATTCAGAGTTAAACCATAGCTTTTACCTATGCTACCATGCACAGGTATTTTAACATTCTCCGAATGAGAGAAATGGTTTGGGGGCATATTTCCATGTCTGTGAATATATGTAAAATTCAGCACTGGGTCTCCCCCCCCCCTTTCAGGATATTAGGTCTTACCAGTAACTAGAGAACTCCCTAGAATTTTTCGTGACTAATAAAATGCAGTATAATTATGTAGGGTTAATGTTTTACCTGGCCTTCAAGAGCTAACCTACTGATTTTCTGCAGAAGAGACATTACCTTTTAGAAGAATATGTGGAATTAGATGAATAAATTATATTTTCCTTTATGTAATCTGTTTTGTTTTGTTTTGTTTTGTTTTGTTTTGTTTTGTTATACAACTGACCAGTTCTACTAACTTATGGGTAAAATCAGGATTTGGAGCCAGACCAGAGTGAAAATGCTGCACATATTCTGAAGGTTGCAGTTGACTAAGCATCCCAAACCAATTTCTTGTCTTTGTCTGGAACAATGGTCTTCATACTGTCCTCCCCAAGCAAAGGGAAAAGTCAGTTTTAAAGCTAAATTAACAAGAGAGGTGGTACATCCTGTTTTGCCATTTGAGGTGAAACAGGAAGTGTCGCCCACCCTATTGCAGAAGTGAGATCTCACCATTAATCAGTGCTGGTGTCAATTCTCCAGCAACAGGGCACCTGAGACGGTTGCTCCACCCCTGCCTTGTAGTTGGGCCAGGTCTTAATATCAGCTGTAAGCAACGCTTTGAATCTGCACTTTTCTCCCTTTCAGTGCCAAAATAGCCTCTAGTCTTTTGCCCGTGTTAGCTGTGAGAGAAGACAACAAAGGAGCTCACTCCAAGTGTAAAGGGATCCCTCAGGATGCTGATAGGAACCAGTCCTGATCTCTGCTTGAGGTCAGCATTTTATCATAATTGCAGCTGTGCATATGCTAAGAACAGGGACGCGGGTGGCGCTGTGGGTTAAACCACAGAGCCTAGGATTTGCCAATCAGAAGGTTGGCGGTTCAAATCCCCGTGACGGGGTGAGCTCCCGTTGTTTGGTCCCAGCTTCTGCCCACCTAGCAGTTCGAAAGCACATCAAAGTGCAAGTAGATAAATAGGTACCTCTCCGGCAGGAAGGTAAACGGCGTTTCCGTGTGCTGCTCTGGTTCGCCAGAAGCGGCTTAGTCATGCTGGCCATATGACCCGGAAGCTGTACGCCGGCTCCCTCGGCCAGTAAAGCGAGATGAGCACTGCAACCCCAGAGTTGGTCACGACTAGACCAAATGGTCAGGGGTCCCTTTACCTTTACTATATGCTAAGAACAGAGCCGTGTTCAGCACTTCAGGGAAACGTATGTGCCATCTTCTTTTAGGGGGTAAGGGGTAAGGATTTGGCTAGGAAGCACATTTTTCTGTCTGCAGGGTCCTGCTTCTCCTTCTTCCCATATACCTGAAGGAGCGTCTCCACCCCCATCGTTCTGTCCAGACGCTGAGGTCCAGCGCCGAGGGCCTTCTGGTGGTTCCCTCATTGCGAGAAGCAAAGCTACAGGGAACCAGGCAGAGGGCCTTCTTGATAGCGGTGCCCGCCCTGTGGAACGCCCTCCCATCAGAGGTCAAAGAGATAAACAACTACCTAACATTTAGAAAACATCTGAGGGCAGCCCTGTTCAGGGAAGTTTTTAATGTGTGACATCTTTGTTGGAAGCTGCCCAGAGTGGCTGCGGAAACCCAGCCAGATGGGCGGGGTACAAATCATCATCATCATCATTTGTGGACCTGGGTTGTTTCCACCTAAGCATTTCACTTATTGATATATCTGTTTGTATCCCATAATATATTGGCTCGTATAAGAGTGCTCAGTTTTGCATCAGGACCCAAACTAAAAATAAAAAATAGGGCTTTTAGATATAGCAATCTATGAACAAGTGAGAGTAATATGGTGTAGCTCATAAAGACTTAGAATTCTGAAATCTTGAGATATTGATCAGAATTCAACTAACTAGTCCCACTAGGAACCCTGTGCAAGGACCTCTGCAAGCACAACGGGGCTTTTCCCCTCTCCCAAGCTCCCGTAAAATTGGCTCATGGAGAATTTAGAAGAACCCCCAAAACAGCATGTAAGGGGGGTGTCATTCTGTCTGACAAGCTGAATAGCTTGTGATGACGGAATTATTCACATAGATGTTTAACTGCTTTACACACACAAAAATTCTACAGCTCAGTATTTCAGTCCACAATTAGAGGACTATGAAACAGGGCACATAGGGAACGTGTCTGTGCCACAGTAGCATGCAAAACATAACCATGCAAAACGTATTTCCAGAATTCAGGACTCTTGTCAGTTTGTTGTAACTTTTAACCTTTTAAGCATTTATGTCGTATGTATCACTCAAACAGGGGCAATCACTTGCTCCTATGGGGCAGGGTGGGGGAATGTTATCACCAGTTGGAAATCTGATGGCC